CCAGCTAGATGGACAGCTAGACAACAGTTTGGAAATTTGCCTCAAGAAAACTTGGACTTTAGTTATAAAGTCACTAATATCAGGACAGTAGGTTGCAAAGCTCCCCACACAGAGACCCCCATTCATAATGGATATTTATCTTATTCACATAAACTCACAAGTTAACTCAAGAAAAAAGATTTTTCCATCACAGAAACCCCACTGTAGGTAAAACTCTTTCAGGTTCTGCACTCAAATGACTGAAGATGTTGGCAGGGCACCATGGGGATGCCTTTTCACTCCAAGCATTTCCAGAAGACTTCTTCCTTGCAAGGGCTAGAAACTAAAATCCATGGCTTTGCTCCCATTGCACTTCTGCACTTCACACCAGCGATCAGAAAATTACAACCACATCACCTGCTTCACTAATGCCTTTCCCATGTTTCCCATCACATGTTATAAGAAACACAGTGAGGAAGGGGTGAAGAACTAGCATTTCAGCAACATGGCCCTGTTCTCTTTCCTTACCAGAACATAAACACTTCCTTCTAAAGTCAAGTTGAAATTATTCTTCACTATACATAAAGAATAGAGACTTGAATAACGAAATATGGAATCCCAGATTTGTATCTATAAACACTCTCTGTAAGGTCAATAGCAGGAACTTAATACAGCTCTGGATTTGATCACTTTTGGGACAGCCACCATCAATCCCACCAATTTCTAACACATTTATTCCATCTCATCAGCACATCTATTCACACAACGGTTGTTAATTATTTAGGCAGATCTAATTCTACCACTCACACTGAGCAGGTCTCAAAGAGCCTCACCAGCATTTTAACCTGACCACCCTGCACCCATTCACACTTCACGCTGTGGGCTGCAGGCCAGCCCAGCACAATGTCCTTCGTGGAAGCAGTCATGGCAACAATGATGTTCTAGCTCAACCTGTTATCCTTGCATCAAAGAGCTTCAAGTACAAAAAGCAGTACCTTTAAGACAATATTGCCTTTGCTTACTCTTCCTTTATCTTTAAGAGCAAAGAACTTCCATTTTCATCACTATTCAAACATGTTTATGATGCCTACATAACCAAATCAGAAGAGCATAAGCATGCAAGGTACAGAATTTGCACAGCGAAAGGCCTCCAGGTACTGCCCTGTGTGTCTGTAGAGACACAGATTACTGTGCATGGCAAGGCCAACAAGCCAGGGGTGGTACACAGTGACCAGAACTCTGGCCACTAGCCCATCTTCTAACAACACCACATTTACAAAGGCAGGTGTGGCTAAGCAGACCAGGAGCTCTCTCTTAACCAACTTTCAATACACAACCATTGAAGAAAAACACTCTTTATGTTACACTGATTACTACACAGTAGTTTTGGACAGATACCTACCGTGGTAGGAAGAGGAAACAGTGGGACGACTGGGTAATGCTATGAAAGAAACTCAGTTTTTGTTGTGATGAATCTTTGCCCTTCATCCCACATTCCTTTTCAGATGTGTTAGGCTTTTACCATATTATCTATAAAAGAATATCACTGAAAAGGCAGGAAGGAAGGAGACAAACATGATGTGGAGCATGATACTGCCCATTGGGCATAAAGGAAGCACACATCAAGCATTTCTCATTCTCTTCCACCCAGTGATATATATGCATGAGTCCTACTCCTCCACCAGCACCGAGAATAAATCATTTAAGTTAGCCAATAACTACTGGTTGAACACTGCAGGAGTGAGGCATGGAATCCAATAAAGAAGAGTTTCAAATTAAAATCCACTAACCTGCTCATGAGCAGGGTCATGAGCAACAGAGAGACCAGTCCCTGGTCACTCTGAAGGGTGGATTTCATCTGTATGAGCAAAGGAATGGGTATGTGCATTGTAATGAACGCAAGCCCAGTGATGTGATGGCTGGAAATCATTATAAACGGAAGAAATCTGATTATATTTCCTCCAATTTCTGTCTGTGCTACATATGTGAAAATATATGGCCTGGTTTTCCATATAATCATATCAATATTATATGAAGCTGTTACCACATTTTTAGTGAAGAAACTCCTGATTTGCAATCATTGTAGATAGGATGAAGATTAAGAACAGAATATCTCAAGTGAAATAGGTGTTCAAAGAGCTTAGTAAATAACTTGCCATGAATAATTCATTTGAAAAAATTGATATTTTTCCCTGGTCCTGAACAACCCAAGAATATAGTGTGAATTTTTAACATTTATATGTTATTTGCAATTATTTCTGAACTACATTAAGTAATTTATGGTAAACACATAATTCCAAAAGGAAGTTATGATAATTAAGTAAAACATAAAATTTTCAACTCCCACAGCAAATTATGTCTTTTGACTAATTTATGTAATGAGCTGAGCTAGTCTGCCCTTCATGAATTTCAAAGTGCATGTTCAATATTTGCAATTATCTGTGCTGGCAGCGGTTACATAAGTCATCTGACCGGTAGCAGTCCAAATGGCAAACCCAGCACACTCTATGGTTCCAAACAGCTCAGGAAATACTGAAGCATGCAGTTAAAAAGTACAGTTGAATCTTTTCTGTTCAAAAGCACACGGCTAGGACGCCTCTCCCCTCTTCACTCTAGTTCTACATGGACACATGGATCAGGTGGTAGGCATGTGAGATGTTGCTTGTTCTTTCTTCTTGTCCAGAACATTAAGTTAGTTGCTTAATGTTTTTTAATGGGTAAGCAGCACTAATGTGTTGCTTAAGGTTTGTCACTGGGGCTGGAGAGGAATGGGGTGCAGCAGGAGAACAAGCAGCTTAGCACATGTGAAAGAAAGGCTCAGGAAAAACATGGACGTTGACAGCCAGTCAAGACAGCTTGAAAGAAGATTTGGTCCGATTTTCAGCCTGGGTAAGATTCTCCCTATGCCTTTTATGAAACATGTTTGAACTTAGGAGGTGAAAAACTAAATATTGATCATATCACCCTAATGATACTTTCTGACTCCCACTTAGACCAAATTGTGGCCTCACAGAAACATATGTGAGCTTTGTTTTTATATGGGATGGAACCAGGATTTCATACTTTATCCTTGTGATCATGGCTTTTCATTTTTTGTTCCTATTAAACTGTCTTAATGGGCTCTCTTCCCTTCTGGTCTAACCACTTTATGTTTCAGCCCTGTTACTCTCAGTGTATTTTATCTTGCCAGCCAACCAAACCTAAGATAAACCCAAATTTGACATAAAATAACTACCACTGGCTGCTAATGCTCAGGATAATAGGCTGTCTGTTACTGTTGGTGTTGAATACTTGACAGAAAATACTGAGAAGGACTACAGAGCACCACAAAACATGCTCAGGGCAAACAGACCACGGCTAGGATATATACGTGAACAACTGAAATGATTTCTAAACAAGTTTGCTCTGACTTTGGGCACTGTATTATCTAAGCTGCAAAAAAAAGCAGCTCCACTCAACTGCAGTGCTGCCTAACTCTTCTAGATACTCTGCAGCACCGAGAGGAGAGAGTAATATATTAAAAATATAAAATTAAAAATATGTGGCTGTGTGCTTTGGAAATATACTCAGATAACAGATTACTCTTCTATTATCTACTACCTTCTGCTTTTACTGCCCCATGAGTTCTGGATGTAATTTCTTTACAATTAGTATTTTACTGTTGATATTTTCCCTCTCTCGTCTCCTTATGTTCTCTTATCATTCCATTCAGTGTCAAAGGAGTCAATTTTTAAATCTGAGAGGTACTGAATGTTAAGGACCAAAAATTAATATTCAATCCTGGCAATAACTGGACTGATGTTCCCTTGAATGTACACCCCTTTTCTTTTGCTGCAGATGGACATGGTGATAATTCCATTCCCATCAGTGTGGCGCAGCTAAGGCTTGAGGTCTGTGGTACTGTGAGCAGGTTAAATCAGTGAGTTAAGAGTTAACCTAGTTAATTGAATAGTGGTAAAGTTGTTTCCTCTGCAGTCATGTATGTAGACAAATATCCCCAGTTACTTCCTACACAAAATAATGTCTCCATTTGCGCCTGCAGCACCTCTCTCATCTCACTACTGACTGTGTTACCAGAGACTGTTTTAACCCCTACTGGTGAGCACAAGTGAAATTGCTGCAGGGAGTGCTGGTTGTTCCATGGCCCATTCCCTCTCCCAACTTCCATGCACCCTGTTGCTGTACGACATCACAGGCCATATTCTCTCTATCTGCTAGTTGCTCTTATGCTTTGAAGAAAATTGATAAGTCTACCATAGGAAAAAGACAACTTTTGTTTGCATTAAATGCTGAAGACATCACAATGGTAAATATTGCCAGTTTTGACACAGAGAAGTACCTAGACTTCTGTTTCCTTGAAAATCCAAATGAACAGCAAACAATGTTCTGTTTGTGAATCTAAAACTCTCCTGCTTGACTGTGTTTTATACCAAGATAACAAAAATGCTGGTGACTTTGAAGGCAGTACTGAAATGCATAATGCTGGAAACAAAACCTTTTTCTTTTTCTAAATAAGAAGGTGCTTTAAGAGAAGCAATTCAATTAAGAACAATTGCCTCTAAATGATGACAATTGAAAAAAAAAAATGTTAAAAGCAGCTTCTTTTTCAGAAATTGGCAGCCAAGATCAATGAACAAAACATAAAATGTAGGCATTATTATTGATGCAGCTACTGATGTAAATAATGTATGCGTAATACTCTATAAAGGGTTGAATTTGGTGAAAAAAAGCTGATGAAATAGAATAGCTGATGTTAATTCTATTGAGGCTGACTTCAAGTAGCTAGTGTTCAACCAGTTTGGTTTTTATATGGCCTTGAAAGGTATGCCAACTATAGCTGTTAAATCCATATTGCAATTAGGAACTGTTACCTTTGCTGATCAAACAAAATATGAAATGGAAGAAAAGAAAAACAACATACCATGTTCACACACAAAACAAAAAAATAGCTATATCAGGGACATCAGGGAAGGTGGAATACTATAACAACACATTTTATATTGTTATACTATTCCACCCACCTTAATGGAGAACCCTTCGGTGTGGCTACGCCATAGCCTTTCGAATCCAGATTTCCTCCCACTTTCATGGTGTCACAAGGCTTTCGTTGCTCAATGTATTCATTCATGGTGGACTCCAGCAGGAAGGCAAACTTGCCCTTGGATTTGCGGACACGAGCTACTCCCTCTGCAGTAGTCCTAGTGAACACTGACGGCTCTGCTGATTTCATGTAGGTCCACATCTTTTCGTACACTGCTATTTTTGATCTCTGGAGGAAATTAAAAAGAAGTTAGAACAAAAGAATGTTGCGACATTTCACAGTGGTGCTGTTCAAAATAAAATCAATCACAATTTTTCAAATAATGGGTATTAGGAAAATCTGACTGTTAAGGGTTTCCTTTGAATCCAATGACTAATAAGAAAAAAAGACATAACAATGATGTATTATAAAATCAGATATCACTTGTAGACCAGTTACAATAAAGTAACTGCATATTTAGGGCCTGAATTTATTTTTAGATAAAAGCAGTTCACACAGTAAATGTTATAAGGAGTATTTTAGGGAATTATGTATGAAATAGATATCCATAAGAAACCTGTATGGAAAAGAGAAAAAAAAAAAAAAAAAAAAAAGAGTTCCTCCATAAATATTGAGCTGTATCTTGAGTTAATTCTCTGTTCTTACACCCACGTAATTGAAACCACAATAGCTTAAGTAATATTTCTGCTTATTCACAATTCCAGAACTGGTTCAACTTCAATTGAGATTCTGTATATTTGAAGATATGGTTCAAATTAAAGATGAAAACAAAAAATTGTACAAAATATGCTGCTGAAGGAGATATAATGCAGGGAGCATTTGGTCTTAAACAAATATTAGATATGATTTTAGAACAGTAGTTCATAAATAAATAAGGTTTATATCTTGCAAGTACTTGGCTGGGACATGTGCTCGCTCAAGCAATGTGCAGGAATTCATGACTTAGCTGGAGATTTTCCCGACTGGGATTGTGTGATGTATTCACAAATAAAGAATAAGGGAACGATAAACCTTAAGCAAAAATAAATAAATAAGGAAATGAAACATCAGAAAGGGTAGAATTTAAACTCGGAAACCAGTGGTGAGACTGCTGTCAATATCAGAAGCTTCCCTGTGCTGGTTACATTAATTCAGCAACTCCTCTGCTTCATCCAGCAACAGCAATACATACATGCTAACCAGCAGCATGGCAGCTGACCACTATCCAGTATTTTTATTTAATAAGACATGGCATTTGTCTTCTCTAGTGTGTGGGTGAAAAAAGAATCTTTCTAGCCATGAAAGCTTTTCCTTGAGTCAACAAGAATTTCAAGCATAGAGAGATTTGGTCTGTCAGCCATTCCTATGCTGTGCTGAGCACTGCAGGAAAATAATTACTTTATTATATGGCCCCACACTGAAGGAAACAGAAGGATCTTAGAATATTTGAGCAAACATAAAATAATGTCATCTAGGTATTATTTAAATGTAGAATGGCTTTAAGAATTCTGGAACCAAGACTTTGCATAGGTTAAGAGTAATTTCACTGAGCAAATACTGACTGAATGTATTATGGCTCAGAAACGAAGTTGTTAGAAGAACATCTAACTGGAAAATAGGCATCATTCAACCAGACATTCAACATTTAGATACAAATACAATACAGAACATCATAAATTATCCATGCTTTTTTTAGTTTGTCTACCTATCCCATTTTGTCCATCAAACACAATAAAACTTAAATTAATAATAGTTGTGTATATCCATAATCACATCCTCTCTTTTCACTGCAGACACAGCTCCTTTTCATTTACATAATAGCAGCTAAGAGCAGAGCCTTAGTCAAGCCACCCATGTCTTCCCTTTGCTTTACAATTACAATTAAAAGTACCAAAAGAAAAAAAAAAATGTAAAAGAACAGTAATGAATCAGGCAACATTTCAGGAATATTTACTTGCCTTTGCTTACCTTTACTTCTAACAATTTCTTACATATTAACATTCACTTAATATTATATAAGTGTATATATATTATAAGTAAACTTATAATAGGACACTTTCCTTCAAAACTAGAAACATGCCACACAAAGCAGTACTGTTATTAACATGGAATTATGCCCTAAGTCAATTAACAAAAAGGTTTCATTTAAGATTGTTTTTTTTTTTTTTCTGGATCTTATTTTGTTTCTCCATCAAGAGATAAAAAACACAGAAAGTTTAACAAGACATTTGCTCTGTAAGGCCATTTTTGTCTCCCAAGCTTTCAGTTGTTAACATTCAAATTGCACATGTCAACCTAGAGTGAAAAATGAAGATATTCCTTATTACCACATGAGAAAGCTTAGCAGCTTTCCACTGCAGTCAGTCAAGATAGGATGATTTTCATTTAGGGCTTTTCTGAGACTGCTTTCTTCCTCTTGAGCAAGCTGCTCTGACAGTGCAACTCTTGATGCTTCCAAAACAGGAAATAAGAGTAAATAGTTGGTGAATCAAAATCTTATTTTTCTTTACTGTGTCTTTAAAATGACTTTCTTTTTCTGTTTTCAATCAGGATTTAAAGCAGACTGAATGTCTGTTCTGATTTTCTGACGTTTTGATAAGAAACGATCAAATGATAAGAAAATGTTCTGACGGATCACAGCCACTAATCACTTCCAGTAATCACTAAAAGAAGTTATCCATGACTCTAATTCTAAAACTGATGATTGCTTCCAACCACACACACACACACACACAAAAATTAATTGGGAAACAAATCTTCATGTACTATTGATTGAGCTGGGGCCTGAGTTTGAGATTATGCAAACAGTGCTTGTATAAATATTGTCTGTCAGTGATATTTTATCCTTGTCCCTGTTTTGTGCAAAAATTTTTAGAAATAGAATCATCACAGAATGGCTTAGGTTGGGAAGGACCTTTAGATCTCCCCTGGGAATTCTTTTTTGTATGATCACATTAAAAACAGCAAGTACTGTATATTCTTGAGAATGCAAGAAGTGAATAAATAAATAATTAAATAAACCTGCTTTGATCTCAGCATCATGGTTTTAATTATCGTCACAGCTTCATGCCTGTTGAAAAAATACTGAAATACATACATTTTAATGTACTAGAACTGGAATTCTCAGAATTAAATGCCAGAATTTGCACAAAGTGAACTGAAGAAGAATCTATGGGTTAAGCATAGATGAAGAAAAATAAAAAGGAATACTGTGGGATTATGCTATTTTCTAGAAAATAGGAAATCCAGCCATCTCAGGGATTACAGTGTTTCAGTTTTTGGATAAGCTCTCTGTATCTGAAAGCCACCATTTTGGCAGGTGTCTGATGTGAAATCAAGGCTTCCAAGAATAAAAACCTGTGTTTCTACCACCTCAGGGATAACGAAGCCTGCTCTCAGAAAACATCTGTAACATTGAATTTAGGTGTATAGCAGCATACTGACTATGCAAGAAGACAGGTATAGACACCTGTCCCTGAAACATATCCATCAAAAAATGAAATACCAAGCACTCCAGCCATTTCTGATGAATCACTCTAGAGTTGGTGCAAAGAGAAAGATACTTCAATGGGTGACTTATTCCATCCTAAAATTCTTGTCCCAGACAGGATTCAGTATCTACAGATGAAATCTAGTAAATTCTCTTAAGAGTAAACTCCCATAAGGCACCATATTTTTACAGCTTTAAAATATGCAAGAAAATATCTGCAAGTTTTCTATGGAGCTGTATCTTACAATGAAAATATTATTTCACTACAGGCTTCTTTGACAACACTCTGCAACTCTCTTTGAACTGATACTGTCTTCAGTTCACAAATTCCATTCATAATGTTGTTGAGTGACTTCAGTTTGGCCAAATTGAAAACATTCAAGCTACATGGGAGCGTCTGAACAGTACCCTTTCAGTAAGACAAACTTTTCTTTCTTCTAAAAATGCCTTAACCTGTATCTTTCATATAAATTTTAGTCTTGATAGTCTTGTTAGTTACCAAGGGAGGATTACTGGCTTACAACGCTTATTCAAAGCCATGTTCAAACACTAAACTCACACACTTTCAAACGCAAGTTTAACTTTCATTTGCTGGAAATGTGAAATAAAGCAGGAGGGGTTATTTATTATGTACCCTTGATGATGCCCAGACTCCCTGTTTTCTGACTGGCATGGGAAGAGGTTTACTTGCCAACTACAGATATATAGGAAAGCAAATGAAAATGAAGTAATCAATAGAGACAGCACAGACATATGAATGGCTATTTAGGCTATTTTCTAATGTTTAAGCCCCATTCCCTCAAGTTATATTTTCTCTTTATTATTCATCTGAAAGTCTATAAATTAAAAATAATGCATTTCCTATCCAAGACCCTAAAGGAAAATACATGCAGCCAAATCCAGAAGTAAAAGCAAAACCTGCAAGACTGCATATTATCATCACGGACTTTCAGTGCTTCACATCATTTTAGTGCTGTAGCTACAAATGAATCAATAGTGCAATGCTGCTTTAATTACCACAGGCTCCAGTATCCCTCAGGGAAACTCTTCTCTCCAATGTGACAGGATCAATAAGTTTTTCATGAATTAAAATAACTGAAAACTCCAACAAAAGGTGTCAGGGGTAAAAATGTAGATTAAGAATTGCATGAGTTACAAACCATATTATACATAATTGCAAAGTAATGGTACTTCACCCTTTCCAAGCGTCTTATCAGGGTGGTCATTAGGGAAAGCTGCTCTAATGGGTATGCCAACTTACTCTGAAGAACTCTTTGGTCGACCCTGAGTCCAGTGTCCCGTAAGCAATTTCAGTTTGTTTGGCAAGGTCTTCTGCACTTTCTATGGGTGAGACCATTCGCTCAACAGTCAAGAAAGCAGCGAGGTTAGCAGTGTAGGATGAAATAATGATGAGCGTGAAGAACCACCAGACACCTCCAACAATGCGACCTGAGAGGGATCTAAACATGAATAAGATAATGCACATTTTCCTGTCTCTTCAGCAACAAAGAGAGAGAGAAAAAAAAAAGAAGGCACTATTATTACTGAATATGTCATTACCTAACAGAGAATGGGAAGGAGACTATCCACATTTTAAATATACACTTTTTCTCTTTAATCTTAATGCCTACAGTATACAGTCCACTATAGTAATACATATATCTCATAGACACAGAAGTATGAATTCTCTTGAACAGTAATCCCAATGTTCTTATTTCAGGAAATTCCTAGCATGGCAAAAACGTTGCAAAAAATCCTAAGTATGTAATTTCTTTTTTGAGACAAAAGTAAAGCCTAGTACTTGCAAATCAATAGCTTTGTCTTTTTCATCTTTAAGAAAGATTTGCACATGCATTATGTTGGTTCCAGGATTAAAATGTTCCTGTGACCAACATAACATATATTCAGTTATCACAAGGACTTATCAAACATTCTGAACACAACTGTAATAACTCAACATTTCATATTTTGTTATTTAAGAAGCGGGTATTTTTGTGGCAACTGTTATTTATGATAAGTAAAAACTACTTTCCATTTTACCACCTGCAATTTGATGTGAAGGCTTTTGAAGAGGAATGTACAACCAGTATTAATCAGTAGCAATGTTATTTCTGATTTCAATAATAGCAGAGCTAGAGGTCAGTGCTGATGCTCTAAAATCTCATTGCTAATTCAAATTTGAAAGAATGGGTCATAAATTAAGTTGTAGTTACTGCACACTAAAGTTCCAGAATATCTAAAAAGGTTGAGAGATTCAGGACTGAGATCACATATTACATCTGAAGTAACCCACTCTGTAATGCCTAGTTTGGCACTACAGCATGGCTTTCACAGACAGCTGGTCAAATATTATCTCTCGCGTAGACAGGGATATTCTGGATGCAGTGCTGAAGAATTTAATAGGGAACAGAAATGGGACATTTGTTCAGACAAGTTAAGTAGCATAATAGTGTGCATTTCACAACTGTAATACAATGGAACTAATTTAGGAACAACACAATTCCTCTGAAACCCACACAGTGGGATTCCTCCCGTGTGTACCTGTTGTTTCTGAGAACTGTCTGTGATTTATGCACATTGACATATGTAAACAATAACGGCTGAAATTCAAAGCATATTTTTTTTACTCTTATTGTAATTATTAAAACAAGAAAAATGAAAAAGCTTCCTAAAGAATGAACTTCAAAACACTGCCAGGAAAATAAAAAGGGGGACTTTATGCTTCAGTGTTGAAGATAAAACGCAAACGTAAAAAGATTTGACACAAACCTTGGGGAAATATCACATCCTTGTTGCATAAAGGCACCCAGGGAAAACCAGAGGCTGTTGAATATGCCAAATTCATTGGGAGGCTGATCACTGGGTCCTTCTTTCCCATCCTCTGGTTCTTCTGTATGCCACTCGTATGGGCTAAACCTGCTAACTAGGAACAGGACCACACTGACACCAATGTAGGCAAAGACTATGCACATCCAGATCTCATACGCCAAAGGGTCCAAGAAGGAAAATACTCCTGGTTTAGATTTCTGGGGCTTTTTGATCATAATGGATATCCCCAAACTCATAAAAGGCTTAGAAAAATCAATGACCTCTTCTCGTACCAAAGTGATGGTCAGAGGCGCAACAGCAATCTCTGCTTTCTATAAAGAAAAAAGAAATATAGATGTATAGATTAATTGGATTTGGCTTATAGACTCAGCTAAGCAGCTAATTCCAAAGGTATGTTATCAACATCAGGACACTGTGGCTTATATGTTCTTTATACTATGTTTCTGTTTTGTACTACCACAGTCTACATTTACTCAATATGCTTTTAGAAAAATAAACATATTGCAGAACTACAGAAATACTTAATTTTCCTGAGAGAAGATTCTCAGTTCTTACAGAGGTGGGCAGCAGTCTATGTAGGTCACTTTAGGTATTAATTCAAATTTAAAGAATTTAAGGAAGGGTTCAAAGTGAAAATGGCCTTATTGACACAAGATATATTGGTATTTTTTATAAGATCCCAGAAATAGTTGCATATTATCATATTTTCATAAGGTACAATCATCGTTCTGCACAAGCCAACTCAGAGTCTCATGGAAATTCCAAATTCCATGAAGTAACAAAGGTGATTAATTAATGCCACAAAACTACAGGAAGACAACTTGAGGAAAAGATAGTTCAGTACAAAGGAATCAAGTTATAAGCAGCACAAAAGACAAGTATGTGGAAAACAGGATACAAAACTGTGCCATTAAATGATAGAGTTTGTTGAATCCACTTCCATCAGAGAGAATTTTTTAAAAGATCTGTTTCTTTAAACATGTTTTTGTCTGTCTTTAATGAATCATTACTGATGATGATGTTGATTATGGCTGCTAACACTGATATTTGCATTAACTACGAAGTATTGTAACTGCACTAATTGTCTTTTCTGTGATCCAGGACCAACATCACACTAAGGTTTGCTCCCTGCCATGTGAGCTAAAGCTGTACAGTAGTACAGTTGTACTACAGTATTATATACTGTACATACTATAGTATACCATAGTATATACTATATATACTATAGTATATACTGTAATACAGTACAGTATTACAGTAGTACTTTACATGGGAGTTGTAAAAGGAACTGGGAAGAAGATGCAACAGTGATAGGGGGGCAGGGATGCAGAAGCTGATGAAAACTTTCTGCTGTTCATCCTGTCATCCTGTTACCCTGCCCATAGCAGGGCAGTTGGAACTGGATGATCTTTAAGGTCCCCTCCAACCCAAACTTTCTATGATTCTATGTTTGCCACAGAGCTATCTCCAGATGCATTTATAAAGATGAAGGCTAGCCCAGGCTCTCTGGCTAGTTTGGACCTCTTAGCTAATGGGCTAAGGAGGATATCTTTAGGAAATACATTTTTTGGTTGCAACCAGCCTTCTGCAGTGGCCATATTCTGCTTCAGATCGCAACACGTGAGATATTCTGTATGTGTTTCCCCCCATTCCAAGCCCAATCATCTTCACGGGCACAGCTGAGTTATTCATAAACTTCCATAATGTAACTGTCTTCATTTTCTTTTCTAAATACTCATTTTGACCAAATTCATCTTACAGAGTAGCATCTTCAAGTAAAGTACATATCTCATAGTTTATCAAAATTTAAGCATTTTCATTTTAGTGAGTTCTTCAGGACATAAATACTCAGTAAAATACAAAAGGACATATTTTAATCCCTCAAATTTCAACGAGATTAAAATAGGGTGAAAACTAAGGATGTGCTTAAATAGTTTGTCTAATCCAAGTGTTACATAAATAGCTTGTGTGATAAAGAAAAATTAAAATTGAAATGTAGGATTTTTGTCATCTCTAAACTTTAAAACAGATATATGCATTTAAAGTAATATGCTGTTGTTTTTTTATAAACTAAGTTATACTAAGCTATACATATTTTATGGAATTTAATTTTAAACTAATTTAATGTCGTTATAATTTAAATGTGTATTTGTAGCTGCATAATTCTGAATACATTAAAAGAAGTGACTCATTACAGTGCAATGGTCCAAAAATGCAAATTCAAATTTAAATTATTATATATTAATCATTGGGTTATATCTGTCATTCTGAAAGAGCTGTGATGCACTTACCCCAATTTTATGTAAAGATATTACAGTTTAAGCAGTATAATTAAAATCATCATTTTGCAAGCATACCAGCCATTATTTCTGTGCTAATATCTCGGGTAACCATTACGGCGATACTGCTAATTCTCTGCATTTTAAATTCTGTGATATGAGCATTTTTAAAAATCTCATTTCTTAAAGTGTTGTGATTTTATTAGTAAAAAATACAAAGACAAACAGTGTATAAAATATATTCTCAAATATCCTGACAAGTAGAAATTGAATCTAGTGTCTGTAATCTAAGGACTGTATGATGGTTTGGGTTACTGACACTGCTGCATAGTTCTGTACTTCATCTCACTCATCACTTCCCTCTTTCTAGAAAGATGGCTTCCTACCTTAGAGTCAATGTCATTTATAATCCTAAATCTCAAGTTTTGTGAATGCCTTCTGTGGAGTCCTTGAAACCAAATACATGAAAGACTCAGGGAAATCATGGTCTACTACTGGTAGTTTTTGTCACAGTCACATACTAGTATCTTTATTAACACAGTGTAAATGCTCAGCTTGGTTTTCAAAAGTGTTGCTAAATCTTGATTTTCTTATGTGTCTGCAGATTATGAGTGGTGTTAAAAAATGGATCCTTGAGAGTTGTTAGCTTTTATGATGTGAGGTGGAAAAGTGACAGCACCACTTTGGTGCTAGCTGTGGAGATTAATTTAAAGACCTAATTAGCACACTGTTGTTGTATGCAAAACATTGGATGAGCTGCATCTTACCAAATTAAAAGGCGTGAAGAATGAGCTGTCTACACTACCCTAAGGAGTTAAAGAACAGAAATAAGTACATATCCCATTTCATTACAGTTGCTGTCTAATGTCAGATGGTTCATAATGTAGACAAACTTGTTTAATGACAACAAATGTAAATGAACAGTACACAGCTAGGTCACGATTAGAAGCCCAATATTTGGAAAAAAATCCAACCTACCCAATCTGATCATATTACTTATTATTTTTGTATGGATATTTTGTGGTACATGGAGACCTACATAAACTCCTTGTAGTGGAAAGCTAAATAACAACAATTGCTGTGCATTAAAAGTATCAGTGTTTATGGATTTAGATGATAAACAGTATAATAATACTGCAAATTATTCATGATCATGTTCCCAGTGAAATCTGTTTGGACAAAGACTAACGACACCTCATACTCAAACCAACTTCACCTGTAATGGTATTTCAGTCTAGGCTCCACACTACCAAGTACAGATGTATTCTGCATTCTTCCAGCTTAAAATAATGGAACAAGATTAAGCCTGATGGTGCAGATTTTCACTTTTCCAGAATATATTATTGTAATCTTTTAAATAAAATTTGTGCTTAGTGCAATCTGTATGAAAAGCTATCTGAGAAAAAATCATACAGGAAGTAACTTCAACTGTGGAAGCACACGGTTTCTCAGATTTTAAAGAGAAATGAGGTCCGACCCTTTGTATGAAGCAGTGCAAGAGTAGCATATTCTGTCAGGGGAATAAATTTTTAATCAAGGTTGACTGTCAGTGCATTTGAAAACACCTGTTATACATGATCAATGGTATTTCAACCTCAGCTAGCATTTCTTCTCTGAGTGGGCTAGTTACAAAGGGCTACAGAGCCCCACAAGAGATTACTGAGGGCGCTCAGATAAATCAGGGACAAATTAGCAAGATTTTCCGATGGCTTTTCATATAGTGCTAAAATCAAAATAGGAAAATAAATCAATCCTTGCTATGACCTTATGTACAGTCATAGCAAAGCTGCATATCACAGCACATTATCACTCTGTTTCCCCTGCAACGATAGAAAAAAAATGAGCTACAGAGCTCAGGTAACAACCAAGCCATTTGCACAGAATCTGAAGGCGTCCAGCTACCAGAAAAACACAAAGTGCATATGGGTTTAACTAGGTAACGTGGGACTAACTGGCACGTGTGCCCAACCTCAGCAACATGAGCAGTGCTACATGGTACTGGGTCCTTATGGAAAAAGCAGGAGAGGCAAGGACTGTCCTGTGTAGTGCAGAAATGCTTTCATTGGGTGGCACAATGCTGTTTACCCTTTAATATGGTTAGCATTTAGATCCATAAAATGTTTCCCAAGCAGGTTGTCTTGTTAACTTGCTAATTCAGTTGCAAATTTGGTCTCAATCCTGACTGCATATAAAAAGCCCTGCTTGAAGCACAGCCAAACACTCAGACTTTGTGATTATGATTTGCGGATCTACCAGAGAAGATGAGCAGCCCCTTACAGGAGAGCTTTGCAGGAAGGATGGGCTGATTTTCCTGCTTCTCTAAGTGGGGACCTGCTGCTGTGTAAATCATCTGGCAAGGACTCAAGGAGGTTGCAGGGAGAATGGTTTTCTTGATTTCCCTGTGGAAATCTTAAGTAACACACTTTTCTGCATTAACAGGAAGAACAATCTGCTTTAAAGCTACATCTGTAAAAGTAAGTTGAACATGGCTGGGGAGCTCCTGGCCAGCTGGCACAGGACAGGCTGTGTCTCTGCCAGGAAAGTCCTTGAGCCTCCAAGCCAGAATGGCTGCAGTCAAGCTGCTTATAGGGAGTAGTCTATCTCCCATTCTAGTGTCAAGCTGGGACCAGAAAATATTTTGGAGAGTAACTATGGACAAAAATACACCATGGACTTTGTATACATCTATGATAATGTAGCAGATTTGGCAAGAGAGTTCAAGTACCCAGAGGCATTCCCTGGTACTACTGACATACTGGGATCAACGCTGCCAATAGGAGCTTTTGGGTGCTACAGCAAATACTGGGCAACAGCAGAGTACTGTTACTTTTTTTAGTTAAAAAAGCAGTCCTGAGAGCTTTTTGCTTGACCATCAAATCTCTAAAGAGCTTTCATGTCATTCTTCTCCGTTCAAAAAATGAAGTTCTGACCCTGCATTGTGGAATGTCCTCTTCAGGCTATTTGCAACATGTTGCTCATGCCTGGGAGTTTCCTTGCTTTCAAATATGTCAACAGCAGCAGTCACATTCCAGGACTGGTATGAACCTCGTCTGAGCTTCCCAACAGGAATTTGTGTGTTAGCCTATTACTAGGGATGGTTGTGTTTCATGAGGTAAATTTTTCAAGATAAGGGAAAAAAACAATTAAAAAACCCCAACAAAACAAAACAAAAAAACCACAAATGATCAGGAAACAGAAAAAGTGTAATTTCAATTTTTCTCTATAACTTCACTAGATTATAAGCCACTAAAACTCTGCTATCAAAACTCTACAGAATCTGGAAAAAGGAACTTTTTCACAATTTGTATAATTTCTCAGATATTTTAAAAGAAACTACTGATGTAAAAGTGCAAAATGATCACATCTATGTGATGGTTAATGTAATTAAAAGCCAGATAAGAAGTTGCCTTAATTTGGATAGGATAAATCTGAAAAACCCTTGATTTTTAACATTCTGGGAGTTCTAAAGCACTAAAGCAGATACAGATGCTTGGTGATCACTCAGCTTTTCCTCTGTGAGATTAGCTCATTCAAGAGCTTCCAGGAACACACAGGAGTTTGTGATGCTGATATAATCTTCCCATTCTCATGTCAAAGGAAATCAACAAACTTGCGGACATGGTTTCCCATACTTTTACTGTACAAAGTCTATTCCATGTCATGGAGATACCTGAACTGATGAGTAAAAGACTGACAAAATCTGTCAGCTTTATGTAGTTGATCGAACAGAGCAGGGCCCTAGCCGTCATTGGGCAGGCAAGGCTCTGCCTAAAACTGTGAGTAGAACAGCTGTTACTCAGCAGTCTTTCACAGAGGTGCAAGCATGATACATGCTCACTGATGGAAATGTTCTCATCTAAAGAGCTTCAGGATTTTTTTTATTCCATCACTGAAAGGTTATCTAAAATTTTGGATCTGTTCGCAGTACAGATAGCAGCAGCTGAAGCAACCAGCAAGCAGAGCTCTGAGCTTTTGCTCTTTTTGGTAACACTAAATACTAAAAATATTTCTCTTGTGGTTGTTGGAACTATTTTCACACTTACAACTTCGTCAACAGAATTCTTAGCCATCATGCTCTTTCTGAAGAATTCTTCTCCGGATCAGTTTAAAATATATGCTATTTCAGTGCCTATATGTTCCTATATGTTGTTTATATGTTCTAATAAATGACAATTTCTGACACTAGTCCAACAGTCCTATCTTTTTTAAAAGATCTGCCCCCATTCCATGAAAATGAATCAATGAGCGATACTCTTCCCAGCTAAACTTTACAGTATATCAAGAATAGGTGGTTTTGAAAGTCCTATATTACTTCTGAGAGTAAAAAAAAATTAAGGGATGTGAAAACTATGGATGTTCTAATGTCACAAAGTACTGGTTGAACAAATTGCAAAATTTGCATGAAGCTATTTGATTTTCTCTTGAAAATAAATGAAAGCACAGAGATACGAAACAGAATTGTTTCTTTTCTGTGACTTCAGGTTTAAATAAAATACACATATACTTCCTAATTTATCACTAATACTAAAATAAATTAAATCCTGCTTCAAAAATTGGTATGCTTACCCCATAAACAAGTTCTCCCACCATCCCATTCCAGATTTTTGTCTCTGGATCCCTTGCTCCATATTTTCCATCAGGAACAATGGCAATTTTGTACTTGATACCAATATGTTTTGCAATTTCTGACGCCAGATCTACACAGTATCCTTCAAACTTGTCATTCCCTTCAAACGTATCATGGTTTTTCTTGAACATAACATATGGGGCTTCCTATAATGAAAGAATTAGAACTGTAAAGGAGAAGTATACAGAATATACTCTGAAAAGCAACATGTAATCTACTGACTGAATAACACACTTTTAATCAAAAGTACATGAATATTGTTAGCACATTTAAATTTAAATATATGAACAGAAATCCTTTTGGATATACTATTATACTATTCTGGACATACTATAATTCGGCTTACACATTTCACAAGCTTTATCAACCTTTACAAATAAAAATCATAAAAAAGACCCAAGTATGTTTTTACTTTGTGCTAAATTAAAGATCTTAGTACAGTGTATAGTGAATATAAAGCAAGATCAGAGGTTGCATCTGTACAATGCAAATGACAGTGGGATAATACAAGGTATAAATCACACTTTTGACTGCAATGAGTGAAATTGCTCTTCCAAAAGTAATGGCTTCTATTTTATGATGTTGGCTCATGATGTCAGAGGTTGATGTTGGTGCTATAGCAGTAGAGTTTGAACCTTCCTGCCACAAGTGTATTACATTTTGCTGCTGTGTGACAGGTAACAGCAGAGGAGAAACTGACAGAATGGCATCTGACACAGAAATGTGGATGAAGGAAATGTAATTGAATACCTCCATGCAGAAAAAAATAGCACCTACTGACATTCACAGACACTTTCTGAACGTTTATGGAGACCAAACAGTGGACGACAGCACAGTGAGGTGATGGATGGTGTGTTTTAGCAGTAGGGACAGTGGGTCACCTCTACTGGTGCAGACTTTTACAAGTACTCTTACACAGCTAATGGTGGTGACTCTGTTGCAAAATAGTGCCTTGTAGCTGAGAATTTGTGCTATGAAATACTGATATTGTGCTTTTTGTATCTGCTGTAGTTTCCATGAAAATAAATAGGAGGCATTAATTTCAGCTCAACCGATCTGTATCCTGTAACATAATGTAACTCCTTTGTACATAATTTCAGGTGCACAGCAGAGGCTTATGTACATTCTGGTGAGAATATGGAAATATGATCCATAGGAAGCATATAATCTTTGAATAAAGAGTGCATATTTTACATGGTCTTTTACTATGGACCTAAGTAATATTCATGAAAAAGCATAGTATAAAGCTGACTGATATTAAAGATGCATGTCAAATTATCAAAATACAATTTTGGTTATTAAGTGACATTGGAAAGAAGTGAAAATTGTTTTGAAAAGTAGATCTTAACAGTCTTTGTAAATCATGCTACCCCAGTAAAAGTGAACATGTGACTGGGAAATTAAAATCATATTTTTTTTTATCTGGCTCTGTGAGGATTTCAGACTTTAGCAATCACTATGTCAAACTATAGTTCGTGGTGGTATTTTAAATGACTTCACATAATCCATATTAATAGCCAGTTCCAGATAAAATAATGTTGCTAATGTCACCCTTCGTTTGAATTTACATCATAAAATACTGGCAACTTCAATTTTCTCTGAGGCTATAACTGTGCTGGCTCTTGGCATGCTTTTTAGACACTGACCTTGGTAGTTCTCTGCCCTAGTCACATCTTTCCTACATATCTAATTAGTGCACAAATAAAATGAAGGTAAATGGGTAGATTGAGAATTTGTTGTAGATGGTACTACATGAACATCAGTGTTATGCAGCAGCAATTATGTGACCTATATTCAGTGTTTAACAAAAAAGGATACATGGCATTAAAGGAGCAATGAAGGATTACATACATCAATTCCAATTTTTTTAGTATGCCAGATAAATTTCTTCTTTCAGATACAAAAATGTAGCTCCTGTTAGCTGCATCTGAACCCACCCAAGACAAGAACTTGATAGGCAAGTTTGAACAGTATATTCAATTTACTGTTACAGAATGAAAAGGCAGAAAACCTGAAAAGAGTGAGATTGTATATGGGAGGCACTATTCCCTTATGTAAATTTAATCCCTGTGCTAACTGTGCTTATGACACACCTCAGTATAAGGATGGCAGAAGGGAGCTTTGTGTAAAGAGAATGGAGAAAGTTATGTTGTTCATTTACTTAATGTGACAAAAATATCCTAGATTAAATAAAACAGTTTGGGAATGGGGAAGCAGCAGAGGTTACTTAAACAAAGATGTAGGTTAGTAAGTACTGCAAGAATATTTCATTCTCAGATGTATCCCCAGAAATCTTCTCCCATCATCTCCTTGTGATATTCTTTACTACTGATGTGCTTTCATGAGCCACAATCTTTGAGTGATAATTCAGCACTGAAGGCCATTTATACATTACCACCATTAATTCCACTATGAATTATATTGCATAAAAAACTGTTTGCAGTGGTCACATTCAAATGCTACCTGGCTACCCAGCTCCTTGCTATGTATACACATAGGTAAAAGCCCGGAGAAATCTGAGGATGATAATAGCAGACTGCTGCACTTCTTGAGGATTTTGTTATGAGCACTGCATGACCAAGGACTGCTAAAACTGGAGCAATCCCCAAGCAAGCTGTTATCATCCTGGCATATGTGACACGGACATTGAGAAGGCCACAGCATTAACCATGCATTATAATCTCTGCAATGATGCAGTGCAGTGACTTGTAGTGCCGTGTTTGGGTCTTCTAAAAAAAACTGCTGAATTTTAGCAGCAGTCCATTTCTTTCATTGTATTCCCATTCCCTGTCAAATGAGCTTAATGTCAACCACCTGTTTTCCAGGGGGAGGGAAGGAGAAGAGAAGGGATAAGGGGTTCTGTCCTCAGTTTTGTGGAACATCTTAATTTTGGGGAGTATTTCAGGCACATGAATCAAATGTTCCTCACTCATTTACAGTTTGTGTTCCCATTAGAGGAGATGTCAAAACCTCTGTCTTTCTACATTTTTTTTTTTTTTTCCCCAGATAAATGATTAAAAATAATCAGAGGAAAAAAATAGCCTGTCTCCTGACTTAGCAGTAGAACCATGTCCTGTCCAATATCTTGAAGGCGTGGACTCTCTTTACAAACTTCAATTACATTTGCTTGCTGCACTTGAAAAGTCATTTTGTTTTTCAATTCCAGCATCAGTGTTTGCTAGCTTTTCTGATTCAGACATTCTTATAAATCCCAAACCAAAGCCATATAATTAAACTCATGGGGAAAAAAAAAAAAAAAAAAAATCCTGGAGAGAGGTTTGAACCAGACAGGTGTAGAGGAGGCCAGCTTCTCCCAGAACCCTGACACTGAGCTGCTGCCTGTACATCATTGATAGAGCTGCTACAAAATAAAATAAAATCATTTCAATTGCCTCTGCATAGCAAAGCAACCGATGCTTGATTCTTCCTGTTAATGGCTACATAAATCTCAGCCCTCCTCTCTCCAAGCTCTTTGAGGGATCACCAAGAGGTGGAGCAGTGAGATTCAGCACCACCCTCCGTAGGTGCAAGCAGTAGTGAGTCCCATCCTGTGCAGGGACCCGTGAGTGTAGACTCACTTGGCCTGAGTTTTGGCAGGGATCGCTTGGGTGACTTGAAGACCCATTTTGGCTCACTTCCCTTCTGCTTCCCTTTCTACTCATTTGATTTTCTGATTTAGAGTAAGATACAACAAAGAGCATCATTTGTAATGTGAATCTATTATAGAGGGAGGTACTACTTGCTGTAGATACTTTAAAAGAAGCCACAGTTCAGTGTAATCTCTCAGCACAAGGCAATGCAATTAAAATTAAGGGAACACATATTTCCTCTTACTTACTGTGCTATCCTTTCCCTTCAATCTATTTTACAGAATAAATGATTTTATTTAATTTTTGTGTCTACATTATTTGCCAATATGAAATGTATTTTCAAGGTAGAATTTGATGGGGGAATGTGGATGGGACCGGACGTGGCTTTCTGGTAAAAGACTGTTTGCAAAAAAATTCAGATAGATGAACTAGTTTCAATTCTGGCCACATCAGACTTTGGGGCTAAAACTAATGAGGTGTGCAGATGCTATTGCAATAACATCAGGACACTGGAAGGCAAGTTTTACTGGTTTGCAAAGAAGCAACTGATACAGCTGAACTTGCAAGACCATGCTGCAAAGACAAAAAAGATCTGAATCAGTAGCATGTACTCAGCTGTATGTTACATTCTACCTGTGACACTGAAAAAAGATTATTTGGTCTGTACAGTCTATTACAATAGCATTTTCTAAACCAGTGGTTATGGTAAGTGTAACCATGCTGGTCCAAATGAATGAGAGATGTAAGATATCTGAGTAGGGATATTATCTTTTATTAGATCAATCAAAATGGCTGAAGACTCTAAGAGGGTTTTTTACTGTTTCCAGTCTAATAAAAATATTATTTCTCCCTACCAGCTTTTTATTTACTGCATTTTTTGAAGAATAAACTCTTAACCTGCTGATGAAAAACACAGATTTGACTTATTGCTGAGTGAGGCTCGATATCATGGTACTTGCAAGATTTCAGCTGTTTAATAATATTCTATTTTGTAGTAAATCAAGGAAAAGTCCGCATTGAAATGATCAATGACTAGCACAGGAACAGATATTTGAAATGGTGCAAGCTTTACTTATATATTTCACAATTTTATAACAATACTTAACATATGTAAATACAAGTTTATGTCTGCAACAATTACCTTTATAGATGAGAACAAATCATTTCACCACATTCCCATAAATTCATGTGTACAGTAAAATGCTCACAAGTGATGATTCATACTATAATGGAAGCTGGAGAATGTAACTAGTCCAAATATTAAACAGATCTATGTATGCCTTGCCTACTGTTAAGAAGTTAATTTCAAAATCTTTAAGCACTGTAAAAATAAATTGTAAAAGTGACAAATATTTGTGCAAGGAAATGTCTCATTTTTTAACAGGAGTGGCACACATCACACTTTATTCTGAAAAAAACCCACCTTCTATAGTACCCAATTTAACTTTTTTTTTTTTCCTTTTTTTTTTTTTTTTTTTTTCCGGAATAAAGTGTACAGGATTCGGTTTGAAGTCTTTATTATTGTCATGCAACAAATATATTTTTTTTCCTCCAGTTTACTAAAGATTTTAATAAATATATTTTATGAAAAAATATTTTTCTATTATGAGAAGATCAAGGAATTTTTGAGGTAAGACTCAGGCAAGTGTACATCAGTCAAAACAGAGGGTGATATTTAGTCACCTACTGGAAGTGTCTGTCATCTTGGGTGCCCTACAGTAGCCTGCCTGCCCTCCATTTGTCATTCTGCAGGTCTGGGTAGCTCAGATATCCTCAGTGTTAGCCACCTACCTATGGATAATTGAAGCAATCTCTAAATCTTTGAGTACCTTCATGAAAGCTTACACACTTGGTGAGCAATTTATCCCATGTGTGAAACATCATATGGTAGCTAAGACATCCACATGGATTGGTCATATATGGCATAAGACAGGCAAGACAGGAAAGGTTCATCCTGCTGGTGTAATTACAGAAATGGGAATAGGCAGAATATCCTACAGCATCATAAATCTCACTGCATACTCTAAGCGGGCAACTGAATTGAGACCCTCTGTAAAGACATCTACATTTAGATGGCACAATCTTGAATGAGATTCTGCCCTTAAAGATTAGTCTGCCAACGTGAAGACTATCTTACTAAAAAACTGAGCTGAAATAGCTTTGGTTCTACATAATTTTTGTGGTCTTTAGGTTTTGCAGTCTCAGATTAGGTACAGCGTTGTCTGTATCATGAAAAGGATTAGAGAATCTAGGGTACTCATCACAGCCTACTCCTATATATTCTAGTTCAGCATCTCAGAAAGTGATGAGGAGCTGGAAGAGGTTGTTCAGGGAAGTTACAGATGCCCCATTTCTGAAGGTGCTCAAGGCCAGGTTTGATGAAGCCCTGGGCAGACTGATCTGATGGGTGGCAGCCCTGCCCATAGCAAGGGGATTGGAACTGGGTGGCCTTGAAGGTTCCTTCCAACCCAAACCATGTTTTGATTCTGTGATCTTACCACCATGTTTCTTATCTCACTAGTACAGTGATGATTACTTTTCCTGGCTGAATAAAGCACTATATTTGCCTTACTTTTAGAGAAAGTTAAATACAGTGTCTCTACTCAAGCCATATAATGAGCCTACTGCACAATCAAGCTGGGGCCTCTGGGGGGGCAGGGGTGGGGGTGAAGGGCCATACTTCTGCTCTGCACATAGGGAGAACATCTGTTCATTCTGAGAGGGCCAGGCGTGCAGGAGGATGTGAAGCACGTGAAGTGCATGACACATGACTCTTCCAGGAACTATAAAATCCAGGGCTATGTGGCAGTTGGTAGATTAATGTATGTCACTGCCCATGTTACCTTCTCACTCTGGGATGCTCCCTCACCACTTGACTATTTGGTGATAGGCTGAGTGTCTATGTGCTACACTAAATCTGTAAAAAAAATTCTGTATGCTCTTACTGCATTACAAATGAAGATAACATTTTACCAAGCAGAAAACCCTGTACCAGGTTCTTTGATTGCAGAGCTAATTCTCTATAATACCATAGCCATACAGCCATGTTACAGCGAAGTAGGCGTAGACACACAAAATGTGAAGAAACAGAAGGCAAATCAACTTGTGCTATTTGGCTTCAGGCAGAAATTAAAGCAAGCCATGCTGAGAACTTGTAAACTTTTCTAACTCTGCCATGACACCTCTCTTTGACGACTGAAAAGTCTACAGCACTGATTGCAGAAGCGTTTCACTTTAATGTTGGAAAATAGGCATGCAACCAAAACTATATGCCATCTACAAGTGGTTCAACCTCCCTTCAATGTGAAGTAGGCAAGGAAGAGGTCAAAAAACTCATTGTCTGGGAAAGAGTTGCTCTAGTTAAATATATATTTTTTGGAGTCTAGGTGTGTGATTATGCTTCTGAATATTAAATTAATTACTTCAATAAGTGAATACTAAGAATCATGGTTGTAATCTGCCTTCAGAATCATGTTATCAGCTCCCATTGGATCATCAATGGGAGATGTGCATGACTAGTTTATGGCAGAATTCACTATATATTCAAACCAAATTCTGATATATTTCTCTTGCACTGTGATTTCAAAACACTGAAAAGGGACATTTTTGGTCAATAATTAGTTCTACTTTTAAATAATTGTATTTATCCCAAAATGACATGCTGCATAAACAGAGGGCATGCTTTGGAATACTAATTCAGCTTTTTGGTTTTGAAAATTATCCCACCAGTCCCTTCAATACAGGGACTGGAAAAGTTTGTTTGAAGATAACACTTATTATTGACATCAAAATGCTTCAGTGCAAACAGGATAGGCAAGATAACACATTTTAAAAGCTTTCTTGTTTTCCTTTTTTTTTTTTCTTTCTGACAAACAGGAACGTTGTATATTACTTTTCATTATTATTTTTTACTCGCTTCTACTAAGCTTGGAGCTATTTATGGAAATTACAGTACTCATGTATTGTAGCTTCAGTCAAAGATATCAGGATTGGTATGAGAGGAAAATTTCGACTGAAAGCTTGTTATTCACATCATTCTCTTCTCAGCTTGGCAAAGTTGAAGGTTAACGTCATCTGTTCTAGACATTTCAGATTAGTCACAGAACTTTTCTTGGTGGTTCAGTGCCTGGTCATCCAGTCAGAGGAACAGTAATCCATATGGAAAAATTAGCTCAATGCTACTAGACTGGTGGTTAATACTTGAGCCTTAGTTAGGAATGTTCGCAGCATCTTGGGACTCTTTTCTTCCTTGATCAATTTCTTAAAATAGGATTCTTCATCAGAGGCTGAAAAGAGGAGGACTGTACTGAAGTATTTTTTTTTTTCCATCACCAAGTCTTTTTTAGGAAAAAAGATACATATTATTTTAAATGTCCCATGCAAATTAAAAAAAAAAAAAAAAAAAATTACACAATTTGGTTAGGATTTACACTCTGAATTCCTGCACAGTAGTTTGGTTGGTTTGCATCCTTGAATGATAATCTTCAACAGGAGATTTTAAAAAATATACTTAATGTATAAATGCTGATACACACTGCTGGAAATGTAGTAATTGAATTTTTGAGTAAGAAAATATATTGACATTTTCCTTTTGGGTATTTTAAGCTCTGCATTAAGTTAGAAAATTGTTGTTTAACAAAACAAACAGAATATTCCTTACCATTTGACACGTAGCTTATCCTAAAGGGTTAAAATATCTTGTCTAAATGAAACAGGTGAAAAGGGCAGTGAACTGAGATGTAAAATCTTAGATGTGGTCAGATAAAGGTCAGCCTTTGCCAGTTGGCTTTTATAAACATCAGCTTAAAAGGGCATTTCTGACTTCTGAATCAAAATTGTTAAATGTTTTATTTAAAATACAGATTTAGAAGAAAAAAAATCGCTTTGAAAAACTGTGTTTTAAAAATGTAAATGAATGAAACAACTCCATTTTTCTTGGTCTGCAACCACTCTTCAAAAACACTAATTACAAACCTGACACTGAAAAATCTCAAATTTATTTAGATTTTATTAAAATGGAAAATTGAATTGACACGATGAATAATTATATTTAGAAAAATGTTCAAATGCATCTACTAAATTCATATTTTTGTTTACAATTACAGGTAGATAAAACAGTTTTGAACCATAGTGCTTAGAATTTTAGCTCTTACTAAAATGAACTTTGAAATTATAATATGTCACCAAAAGGGACATTGACATTATAGACATCTGTTCAATTATGTCAGTTAGAGATTTTAGGTTTTTCTTTTCTTCCAGTTTCTTGTGAGTCAACATTTATCAATCAGAGGTTGAAAGTATTCATGTATATTTTTGAGAATTACTTCAGTAAAAAATGGAAAAGATTGTATACCAAAAGAAAATTACTTCAACTTATTTCTAAAAACCTGACATCAAGTGAATCATTATTTTAAATACATATCAAAAAACCTCTAAACAAACGTAACAGTCAAGATTATTAAGATATATGGCTCTCACCCTCCCCACAAATCCCATGAACTGGCAGACTGAATAACACTATAACTAAAAAGGATATTGTGTCACATAGTATGAGCATTAAAAAAAAGAAAAAAAAAGATACCGATTAAAAAAAAACACCTTACCAAAATTGTAGTGACAACTACAGTTCTGTTCTCCATGGCTGAAGTGTCATTTCCAAGTGTAGGTTCATGCTGAATCAGAACTAATTTATCCATGTCATTCCAGTAACCAACCTGCAAAATAAAAGGAATAGAATTTACAGCAGGTAACTTCACATTTGGTGAAACTGCAGATACAGTTATTGTTTGAAAAACAGTGTGATCCAAAGGCAATTTTATACCAAAGAAGTGCTGCCATAGATGGGTGCAAAGTAGTATCCACCCAGCACTTTGGGTATATATACCATCCTGCAGTACTGTTGCAGACAGACCTGGTACTGCTGCCTCAGCAGATCCTGACTGACCTGTGAAACTTATTTCAACCAGGGGCACAAATTAAACCCCACCTGCAATATTCCGAATCCTTCCTTGGGCCATAAATGAAAGAGATATAAGAGTTCTCGCTCTCTGCTAGAAAGTTTTCATTCATTAATCCCCGACAACTTCTGGTCTCTGGAGGAGTGAAAGACGTCAGATTGCAGCTTCGCAGTGCAGTAGATGAGCTTCATTTCCTGCTCCACTGTGAGTCTTTCATGACTTCCAGTCCAGGACCTTAAAAAGCTTGTTCCATTGGCATTGACTTTGGTATCTACATTACAAGTCCTGTTAATTTTTTTTTTATACTCAGTGGAGAGATGAGCACTATAAAGCAGCTTATGAATGATATGCCTCCCCTCTGGAAAATACTTCATAAAATGAAGAACTTCATACTTGCCTTTCCCTACTCACTCCAAAGCATGGTAAGCATGACCATAGTCTGAAAATCTCTCTGTTAAGTCTGCTGCTGAGGTGAAACAAATCAGTTTTAGGCTTCTTGACCACAACCTTTCCCAGAGCAGCCCTAAGGTGAAATAACCGCCTTAGTTCACTGCTGGTGCTCAAATACTGGGAGGTTTAAATCATCCATAGGAAAAAAGAAAAAAGAAAAAGAAAAAAAAAAAAAAGGAATGCTTGGAATCAGAAGCTCTCCCCTTACATACAGATACAGTTTTTGCAGTGGACACCTCTGGCATTTAGTATAAGCTGTAGCTGTGCGTTCTGCATTGGTAGTGATGCTGCTGGGCACAAGACATGAGCCAGCATTACTTGTTGTAAAAGCAGATGGGATGAAAATAGACTGAAAAAGGGAGATTCTCTTTCAAACTTTTATTGATATGCTTGGGGGTTGTACGGTAAAAATTTGAAACTTCTGCCCCCAAAACTGCACACAGATTATATCATAGAATCATAGAATCATTGAATCGCTGAATCATAGAATCACAGAATGGCCTGGGTTGAAAACGCCCACAATGATCACTGAGTTTCAACCCCCCTGCTATGTGCAGGGTCACCAACCACCAGACCAGGCTGCCCAGAGCCACATGCAGCCTGGCCTTGAATGCCTCCAGGGATGGGGCATCCACAGCCTCCTTGGGCAACCTGTTCCAGTGTGTCACCACCCTCTGTGTGAAAAACTTTCTCCTACTATCTAACCTAAACCTCTCCCGTCTTAGTTTAAAACCATTCCCCCTTGTCATATCGCTATCCACCCTCGTAAACAGATGTAAACAGAGGTCAGGTGATCCTCTCCCATCCTTTTGACCCCTT